AAAAGCCAGGGCAAGGGAGAACCATTGTTCACAAGCAGGCACAAGTCTATGCGTCCAACAGACTCATCCACCCATTTCTCTAGCTTTGTTGGCTAGCGTCGAGAAATGCTCCCCTGCAAATTAGAAAGCATAACAAGAGCGGGGTTCCCCTTTGAGTCCAAGGAGCTACACACACGCCCCCCACGAAGACACGAGAAGAAGACAAGGCAGGGCAAGCGTTGCGGCTGCAATAGAAAGAACCAAGTGCGCAGGGACAACCGATGAACCAGACCTCCTTGTAGCAACCTGGGCGAACCATGTGACGGTGTAGGTCGTCGAGATTTCCTTTCCTTTCACATTGTGAGATGCCTCTCCACTTAACACTTTCTACTTTCAGGCTGTATACTCCCAAGGTTTTTACTTAGGGCGACCCCAAATCAGTTCCGCGCTTAATCTCACGAGCGTGTCTCTCCTCGTTGCCTTGCTGAGCAAGGGTTTGTCTCCTCCCCCCTGACGAAGGAGCCTCAGCGCAAAGGTAAGTTAAGACTTGACGACTTGCATAGAGCTTGAGCAGGCTGAAAGCCACTAGCAGTCCGCTGCGGACCAGACCAGCCCGCCGTTTTGGCATGGCCAGAGCAGACTGCAGCGGTCGTAGTTCTCGGTCCGTTGGGAACGGTCCCAACCTTCGCGCTCTTCATGTTTGCGTTACACTAAGTTTGCACTACGTCATGAGGTTCGGCTGCATTTTCCCACAAAATCCTCCAAGTTCGACAACCAAGTTTCAACTGCAAGTCTGCCGAGCGCATTAGCACTTTACGTCGACCTGGTGTACCTGGAAACAGCCTGAGCAAGGGAGAACGATTGGAGTCCGTATGTTCACAAGCAGGTACAAGTCTGTGTGTTAACAGACTCGCGCACCCATTTCTCTAGCTTTATTTGCTAGCGGTGAGAAATGGGCCGAAGCAAGACCGAGAGATTCCCCTTTGGGCCTCAGGGCTACACACACACCAATGAGGGTTTTGAAAGCATATGCTCGCGCAAAAAAGATGTGAACCGAAAAAGGGAAGGACATGAAAAAAGCGGACATCTAACAAAGGATCTGAGATCTTGTCCAATATATTTTGAGGGTGGGTGCGCTTGGGAGAGCACACACACTAGCTCAAAACCCTTAGAAAACACTGTAAATACCATGCAGAATTTCAAAAGCTGCTCTGAGAACTAGGCGAAACGCAATCTTTTTTGATCTGTCTGTGCCCAGTCTCCATGTCCAATTTCAATGACAACAAATAACAGCTCTTCGTCTGCCCACTATCAATGCGCAACACCAATGATAAATATTATCAGGTAAATCTCTCTCTGCCCACAATGAATGTAGCATCATGAGCGAATGAAGATATAATACTATACATCTCTAGATTCAATAGCTTCCCTCTGGGTCTCTGGGAAAGTAGATTTCCTAGATTTTTGTATTTTCATTGAAGGAAAGCTTTTGAAAGAAACACTTACGTACTTATAGCTTTTAAAAATACCATGACTATTTCCAGAGATCCGGAGGAAAGCTTTTGAAATGAAAGCTTTATATTTTTTCACAGAAGAGATCAGATCTAGAGGGAACCTTTTGAATTGGAAGCTTGTACATAAAGCAGTTTTAATATAGCTATGATTATTCCAAGGGATTACTTTAAACAAATACTATCTATTCAAAAACATAGTTTTTGTCTTATTCCCAGCACTCCTAGACCAAAAAACCACTGTAAAATATAGGGTTTGTAACATGTTTTTTCTTAAACTAACTAACTAGACGACGAGTGGCCCGAAAGCATTTTTCATCACGTAGGAAGTCAGAGTGTGAGTTATCTGTTAAGTGTTCAGTGTGAAGTGTTAAGTCGAGTGAGTTGAGGCAGTGTGTGGGTCTCTGTGTGTGTGTGTGTGTCTATGTCTGTGTGTGTATGAGTCTCTGTCTGTGTGTGTGTGTCTCCGAGTAAGTTGAGGCAGTGCGTGGGTCTCTGTGCGTGTGTCAACCTTTTAAGAGAGCCGGGTGGTCGGGAGACATGACTCAGCTGCAGGGGCGCCAGAGCAGCTGCGAGAGATGACTCAGCCGCGAGAGATGACTCATCCGCGTACTAAAGTTGCACTGCAAAGTCACCAGTTCTCAGCTTCCAGCTCCACAGATACTCCGCGTACTAAAGTTGTACTACAAAGTCGCCAGTTCTCATCTT